TCTAAACCAGCCATGTAATTTACCTGTACAATTCACACCCAAAAATGGACTCGAACTTAAAATATCTACTCTCCACGCCCGCAAGATTGCCCCTGGCCCGCGACTTAATCTCCACCAATCGGGCGTACCCAGGATAAATGGATCCGGGCTAAGAGGCCAAGACAAGAAAGTGTCTGAACAGTATTCAAATACTGATTGACAATTTTGTCCCTGAATTAAAGATTTTTTTGACCATTACATCCTTATCAGACATAATATTTACATTAATGCCATGTACCTAACCACACCTCAAGTCTAGCTGCCATTACATTCTCTCTCTTGGTAATTCTCCTTCACTCTTCATCTACATGAGAGCATTCACAATGCTTTGGGTCTCTTTTTACATATGTGACAAATAAATAGACTTAAGTCTATAATGACATGGACAAACCCAAGCTAAAAAGTCCAAAATTTATCCAATGTCAAAGAAAAGTACTAAGTTTAAAATACCTAACAACCAATAAAAATATAATAATAATAAATTATTGCTATTGTAAGGTTCACACTTGCGTTCAAAATAGACCCAAGAGTGGACTTGGTCTCTTTTTTTATTGCCACATAAGCTAGACTAGGTCCACTTTTAATTGCATTGTGAAACACTTTTTTATAGATTAAGTTTATTTCCTACATGGCATGTGATTTTTTTTAAAGCGACTCAAACCATTGTGGGTGCTCTGATCTCTCTGGTAGGAAGGTCACGCCTTTTTAGGGTTGATGAAGATATATATATATATATATATTTTGTATACCAAAATTCTCCTTCGTATACTGTTCTGGGTAGAGCTGTCAATTTGGCCCGCGGGCCGCCTTGCTCCGCAAAAGGGACGGGTTGGGCCTTCATTTTCAAGGCCCGCCAAGGAATGGGCCTACGCAGGCTGGGGCAGGCTAACCCGCGGGCAGGCCCACCTTTTTTTTTTAAAAAAAAAGAAAAAAAAAATACATGTAGAAAAATGCTACAAGTATATAATAAATGTACATAGAGGTGTACATAACACTCATATGGAGTGGGGTCCACTTAGTTTTTTATATTTGGTAGAATCCACTTAACGTGAGTATTATGTACACCTCTATATATAATAATATTTACTTATAGGCTTATAGCATTTCTCATGTATGTATTAGACTCGAATTATTTATTTATTTAAAAATAAAAAAAAAGTGGACAAAAAAAAAATGAGTGGAAAAAAACCAAAAGGCCGTATTTCATAAATCTGTTTTTTAATATTAAACGTATTATAGGAATACGTTTTTAGTAGTAAAACGTATTTTGTGAATTCGTTTTTGTAAAAAAAAATTAATTAACGTAATAAACGTAATTAAGTTAATTAAAATATGGTAAAACATAATATTTAAATACGTTTTAAATTAAAAAAAAAACGTATTAATTGAATATGTTTTATAACTAAAAATAATTATATATTTATTTTTTAATTATAAAATATATTCCAATAATACGTTTTATAAATAAAATTAATATTTACAATTTTGAAAACTAATTTTTTCAGAAAATAATAATTAAAAATGTAAAACGTATTTTCGAAATACGTTTTTTAACCCTAATTTTAGCCCAAAATTTATTTCACCCTAATTTTAGTCCCAAATTGATTTTGCCCTAATTTGCACAGTAAAACGTATTCTTGAAATACGTTTTTATAACGAAAAAAAAACGTATTTTCAAAATCCGTTTTACTGTGCAGAAACAGCAAAAATTACAGAAAAATTACAAAAACACACATCGATTCCACAACTAAATATTAATTACACAAGCTCATATCAATCCATTCGTGAAAGAAAGAAAAATGAAGCACAATAATTCATTGTCCAAATATAAAAATCCAAATATGTCCAAATATCATTACACATAATCCACGAAGAAAGAAAAAAATAAATATTTATGTCCACAAAATTCCCGGAATACAACACACCAGGCATTTTTCACCACATCAAAACAGGCACTTTTTTCCAGCCATCTTTTGTCAAAAGAAAATCTTTTCTTAGCCCTGACTTGAGAAATCCCAGTTTTCAGCAGAAGAATAGCATGATCAGAGGCACTAGAGATGACATTAGTAATTGAGGACTGAGGATGGCTCTCAATCCAATCTATTGAAGCAAAACCCCTATCTAATTTTTCCTCCACCAAGCCTTCAAACTCTCTGTTGTTAGCCCAAGTAAAGGGGTAGCCTCTCATACTGATTTCCTCCATCCCCATTCTGTGGATAAATGATTTGAAAGCTAGAAAACTTCTGTCACTTCTGGTGTGCCCCCCCTTTTTTTATCCTCAGAGCAGCAGATGTCATTCCAGTCCCCCATGAGGAACCAAGTATCTCCCCATCTGTGTTTTTCTGCTTCCAGTTCTTCCCACTGCTGAGCTCTAATGGCCTTGTCTGTGCTCATATATACAAATATACCCCATGATGCAATAGACTCAGTAAGAGTGAATTCAACTGCAATGTAGAAGTCCTTTGTGTACAACTGCAAAATATCAACTTCATTTCTCCATAGGAGTAGCAGACCTCCACTTTTACCTCTAGGATTAACAATTGCTGATCTACTATCAAAACCCAGCTTTTTACTAACCGACTTAACAAAACCATTCTGCTTTTTAGTTTCAGACAAAAATATAAAATGTGGGTGGTGAGTCCTGAATGACTCTCTGATTTGGGAAACTGTAGAGGGCCCACCCAGCCCTCTACAATTCCACACCATGGCTAGCATTGATCAAGTGGGTGCCAATCAAGGCTGGCCACCTCTACCTCTGCAGTTATGAGTTTGAGTTTCTTCTTGTCCTCTTGACTGGGCTCAATACTTTGTTCTCCCTCTATTTGCTGAGTCAAGTCTGGTTCTGGTCTTTGTCTTTTACCCTTGCTAGCCACTATCTCCATTGGGATGGTTTCATCCTGCCTTTGCAGTCTACCTGACTTGGATGAAGTTCTTTTCCAGGATTTGAGAGGTTGTTTTAGATTTTCAGAGCACCCTATTTGCAGGATGGTGTGAGTGGGTGAGTTGGTTTGCAGAATGGTGTGAGTGGGTGAGTTGGTCATATCAGCAGTAGTGGGGTATTCTGAAGTCTCAATTAACATAAGAGTGGAAGGGTTGATAGGCTGTTTAGGGTTAAAATCTGTGAGGGAGTGGTTTTCAGTTGAGGTTGGATCAAAGTTATGGTTAGGGTTCAGGGGGGGATTATCAGGCATTTGAATGAGATTGTTGTTTTCTTCAATGTGGCTAGTAGAGGTGTGGACAGGATTAGAGGGACTGGTAACAGGAGGGGCATCAGATTTAGATGGGCTTTTTGAGTCAGAGTAGTTTTGGCTTGCCCAGTGCTGACTATCTGTGGCTCGCATCCATTCACCAAACTGGCCTTCATTCAACGTTTTTTCTCTTATATCTTTCAATCTAATTTCACAGCCTCTATCCAAATGGCCAATGTGCCCACAGTAGTGGCAGAGATTAACCAGCCGTTCATACTTAAATCCCACACTAACAGCCTGATCATCTAGTCTAATGTTAGCACAACGAGGAAGCGCTTCTTTAATATCAATGGTAAGTAAGAGGCGCATAACACGTCCCCCATGGCTACCAGTACCTACTATCACCACATTCTGAACAGATTTGAACACTTTACCAATTTTTATACCCACTTCAGAACTGAGCCAATTAAGAGGGACATTAAATACCTGGACCCATAGATGAAGATCCGAGAATATGGGATGATTGATTGAGAGGCCTTTTTGCCATTCAGCGAGAATCAGATATTGGTTGTCGAATATCCAGTTAGCTCCTGCTACAACTCTTCAGAGATCTTCCTTACTCCTTCCTTACTCTGGAAATAGTTGTGCCCAAGTTCTTTGATTTCTATCGGTTGTTGTAGTCGCCATATATTGCTCATAGTGCGTTTCAGTCCTATCCAGCTGGCTTTTCTGTCCCCTATGATTTTACCAAAGAGACTACGATGGCATTCTTCATCACTTATCTTGATATCGGTTTGAGCTAGATCAATGAAAGAATGCTCTCGGTCGGATAAAGCAATTTCTTGAAGACGTTGCGCCAATTCTGCATCTTGTCCTATACAGATTGGGGTGCCCATAGCTGGCCAGAAAACCCTAGAAAAATCCCCAATTGAGACCCAACAAAACCTAATCTACAATGGCCGCTTAATAAACTGCCGACAACCAACCAAAAGAAAAAAATCAAAACAAATGCACCAAACACAACAAATGCTAAAATGAAAGAAAGGTGCGACAAGATCATACATGATAATTGGTTTTTCCCCACCTAACACCAATTATTCTGATGCATTGAGTGGAACAGGACTCTCAACATACGGAAGAATCCAAACTGCCTTAGAATCAGCACAGATGCCTGTGATGTCAACCAATCTGGGCTCTGCAACATCGAAAAGCAACACCTTGCCTGTGATGTCCTGGACAAACAATTTATTATTCCCAAAGAGGCCCACCACATGATCAATGGCAACAGGGATCTTGAATTCGGACTTTAGAGACCATGACTCATCATTCCACACCCAAATTTCGAAAGTGGAATAAGGCTCTTGGGCATTATTCGAGACATTGGTCAGAAGAAGAATAGCAAGAGAGCCATCAAATTCAACAAGAAGATAATCGGCTGTTTCATATCTAATCTTGCCCGGGAAAGGAATTGGGCTAGGCGAAAACTTTTCACTGGCAAAATCGAACGAGATGATCGAACGAGGCATGGAACTTAGTCCCCAGTAATAAGAGCCGCCTACACGAATGGATGCCCGTGCAGTTGGTATGCCCTGCTCCTGGTAAGGATACGCTATTTTCCTCCAAGAATCGTTTTCGAGTGAGTAAAGCGCTGCTCTGAACTCTGGAGGTGCTTTGAATTCACAGTGGTCTATGAGAATCTTGACCATCTTATAGCCATGAGGCTTGGCGGGATCAAACCCCAAGCCAACTAACAGATCTACAAAAAAAGGATCGAAGTCGGGGGGAAGAGAAATGAGCTTTATCTCATCGTTAGTGGGGTTCCAAAGAATATCGTTTCTCCTCCGGCGTAGACGCGCCCAGCTCCACACCAACATCAGGTCGTCGATACTGGCGGCAATATCATACTCCAAAACCTCGGGTGGGGGTTTGGAACTTTTGGCCGTGAACCGAACGAATTTCTTCGAGCGAAGTTCATCAACTTTCCACGAGGTTTCAGCAGAAATTACTGAAGAATACCTGATATTCTTGACAAAGTACATGAACAGAAACCGGATTTTGCCATCGTTGTTGTTGGGATCGACCGCAAAACCCCGAGGGACATGTGCCTGGGATTTAACATGAGACGCAGTCGAATATAAGGTTGACGAAAGATACCTGAGTTTGGATTTGGCGTTGCCCAAAAAATTGGTCGACAGAACTCCCATCTCTCTCGCCTATCGCCGGAACAATAACAAACAAGGCAAACAATCGCAACGCCGGCGCGAATAAGAATTTACTCACCCAAACCCTACTTTCTCTATGTGGATTGTATTTTGGTTGACAAATTTAAATAGGGGAAATAACAAATTTAAATAGGGCAAATTTTATTGCAGGGTATAATTTTTGTGTTTTGTGTCCATATAGGGTTTAAATTTTAGGGTACGCGCATACAATTTTTTTTTTTAAAAAAATTCAACATTTTAACTCAATCACTTTTTTAATTCAACTTTAACTTCATACCATTAATATAATTAAATAATATCATTCAATCAACATGCACCACATCAATAATATCATTCAATCAACATCCACACCACATCAACCTTAATTTACTATTCATCATGATTTTGAAAATCAGACAGGACCGATCGGTTCGACCGAGAATCGGCCAGAACACCGATCTGGTTTGGCTATTGAATCGCTGGGCCCGAAAACTTGTAATCCTTGATAAAAAAAATGAGTGACTGCGCGTAGTGTAGTGGTTGGAATGTTGCTGCTTATGTACAAGGTACTGTGTTTAATTCCCTCCACCAACAATCTTTTAGTTTTCTCATTTTCAAATGTTTTCTCATTTTTTTTGTCTTTGTAATGACTTTGAAGCTCAAAATGATTTTTAATTATCAGAAATGTTATAGGTACATAATAGTGTACATAGAGGTGTACATAACACTCACATTAAGTGAGTTCTACCAAAAGTAAAAAAAAAAAAAATACTACAAGTACATAATAGATGTACATAAAGGTATACATAGCACTCACAGTCAACCGAGCTTGTTTGCAGGGGCTGATGGCTCTCGGTCGCCGGCGTGCGCTAGCCTTCTCGCCGTCGACTAGTGGTAAAAGGCTGAGAGAGACGAAGGAAATCACTGCACGGGAGGCTTGAAAATATATCGTCGACTTGCTGCTACGGGGTGCTTGGGTAGGTTTAGAGCTACTGGAGTGGGCCGAAAAATTAGTGGGGTCAATTAGGGTCGGCCGTGCTTGAAAGGGTTGCTTGGGCTGGAAAAGGTGTTCTTTACTTGGAGGGAAAGCTAGGCTTCCATCTCAAGGGCTATAGTATCTCTGGGCCATTGCACCACCCGCCCATTCCCCAATCGAAAGAAAGAAAGCCTAATAAAATGGGCCTAAAGGCTATTTAGGGAGAAACAAATATGGTCGGCTCTTTGGGGATAAAGTAATATTGCCGGCGATAGAGGAGAAGATGACGGCTGACCAGCCTGGCGTCCAAAGAAGACCCTCGGCCCAGCATTTTTTCGGCAAATATCAAGCAGAACCAGCGCCGTCCGAGAGTTACGAGAGCTAGCCATTCATATATGGCGGCTCACGAGCATACCTGAGCATTGAAAAGGAGCTATGTTTCCGGCGAGGCGAGCAAGCAGCCCGCGGCTGGAGCAGGTCTTCGAGCACACCCTGGTGAGCCTGAACTGCAACAATAGCAGCGACCCAAAGTTGAGACCGAGCAGGAGATTCCATCCACATGGCGAGGCCATCCAACACCCCGAGAAGAATTCCACTAGACAGATTGAGAGCAGCAATTCATTGTCGAGCAATTTCAAGAACCAGCCCCTTTCTAACGCTTGAGAGTTGGCTTTATCACGACTGAGGCACCGTTTTTCAATGGACCGAGAGCAGAGATATAGCGTCCAGGCGATACCAAGCCGAGCCTTTTCGAGAGTCGAGAGCCTCAATCGAGGCCCTTTTTCAAACCCGAGACCCAAGACCCAAGACCTTTTTTTTTTAGAAAAGTAACCTCGTACTCGCCTCCATTAATGTTGAGTTAGTTTAAATGATTAGCTCTCAATTTTAACAATCTTCAGTCAGAAACTTAAACATCCAAATAGGTGTAAGAATTAGTTTACATCTAGGTGTAAGAAATTAGGTGTAAGCATTAGTTTACATCTAATGGTGGTTTTTTTTGGATGTTTTAGTTTTTTATTCAAGATTCAAAATTGTTAAAATTGAGTGGTAATCATTTAAACTGACTCTTAATGGAGGCGGGGTGGACCCCTAGGTTACCTTTATTGGAAAAAAGGTAAGAGAACAAAGGCTAGGGTCTCGGGTCTGAAAAAGGGCCTCAGTTGGGGCTCTCGTCTCTCGGAAAGACTCGGCTTGTTGTCGCCTAGACGCTCGATCATCAATTGCGCCTCCTGAGAAATTGGGGATTTCATTTTTCACCACCTCCAACATGGGAGGATACAACCTTAATTGCGTCTCCCGAGATGGTTTAGGGGGTGATTTTTTATCAATTCAACTTAAAAAAAAATCAATAAAAACTCAAATTTAACTCAATCTCACTATCCTCTATTTTATCTATATAATTAAATAATATCAACCAATCATTTTTACACATCACATCTCATGGGTCTACTTCTGGATCTGAAGTGAACCGGTGGTAATGAGCTCCAATCTATCTGAATCGACTTTGAACCGATGCTAGACCGCAGTAACACCTGCAAGAACTCAACGCTGGAGGTGTTTCCGGCGTAGAGCCTCTGACGCTCAAGTCAATATATGAAAGAGATAAAGAAGGCTGCTCTCACAGAGCAGCAGCAGCAGGAGAGGAAATATATGGAATGAGTGGGAGTTAGGGTTTACCTCACCTCCTTTATATAGGAGGAAGGGTTTAGGGTTACCTCACCTCCTTTATATAGGAGGAAACACTTACTTTGAAGTACCCAAAATGCTCCTGTCGGTTCACCTGGAAGGTCTAAATTGCCCCGGTCAATTTGTCTCTCCTCTCCTGCTGAGTCATCACCAGCAGGAGAGGAAATGTATGGGGAGTTAGGGTTTAGGGTTACCTCACCTCCTTTATATAGGAGGAAACACTTACTTTGAAGTACCCAAAATGCCCCTGTCGGTTCACCTGAAAGGTATAAATTTCCCCGGTCGATTTGTCTCCCCTCACTGCTGAGTCATCACCAGATTCCTTGTTTATCCATCGGAGGATATGAGACTTCAAGAGATGTTATAAGTGTGCTAAATCGTCGGTACGTTTTCGGGCCTCGAGGCAAGAGGAGTCGACCTTGAACACCAGGAGGTCGACTTAGGATCGTCTGAATGCTCGGAGGCTACGCTTGTTCATCTTCTGGGTGGAAGTCAACTTTAAAGGTCAACTTATGAAAGTCGACTTTGATGTTGTCGACTATGGTCAAATTGGCTTTCGTCTTTTAAACAGCTCATGCAGAACCATCAGCCTTCCGGAAGTCGACTTGAAGATATCGACATGTGAGCGGTTTATCTCATCGTCTCGGTCGAGCGGTTAGTGTTTGGACCGGTATATCATAATATGGCTATATCAATATCAACTTTAATTCACTATTCATCCACTCCCATAATTCTAACTAACCATCATTTTCAATCATTTTTTCTCCTACTTTACATCAAATCAACTTTAATTATTTTATTTAAATATTATTCTAATATATGCACTAATAACTAACCATACTACTTTTTTTCAAAATTAATTATACTTAAAAAACAAACCAAATAAAAACTAGTTGAATCATTAAAGAATCACCTCCTTAGTGTCTTTCCCAAGAAGGATACTATGCATGCAAATGGACAGGCTTATCCCTCGCAAATTGATAATCGTCCAGCCGATAGCTTATCCATAGTTCTTCAACACTTCAATGAGGGCTGGCTCCTGGTCAGGATACAAACTCGATGACACTATAACCGGGAGAGTTCGATCCTCTCCCAAGTAGACATATTTCAAATGGTTCAACAAGAATTTCAGTTCAAGCTCCGGTGTTGCAAAGTAGAAGGGAGAATTTTCTTATCAAGTTCAGGTAGCCGAATAAAATTTTTCTCATGCTTGCCAAGATATGGTTTTAGCGTATTCAAGGCTGTTACTAGAGCCGTAAAAAAGGCTCGCGGCCCGCGGGGCCACCCCGCCCCGCCCTGCAAAAGGGGTGGGTTGGGTCTGGTTTTTTCTAGGTCTACCAGGTAGCGGGCCTAAACAGGCCTGCCCCCGCAAGCCGCGAGCTGGGGCGGGGCAGGGCGGGCTGGTCTGCCCAATTAAAAATAATGTATATATAATATATTATAATATATAATATATATTATAATATATAATGTTTATATTATATATTATATAAAAAATATTATATATAATGTATATTATATAATATCTCTATCTCTATATATCTCTATCTCTACTATTATATATGAAGATATAAAAGCATTCTAATGGCGACAAGTGGCAAATTGTGTGCTTGACATTTGGCATTTTTTAGTGTTGAATGCCCCTTTTTGGACAAAACATCTTATACTAATTGTGAAGGTCAATAAGGCAAATTGGATGTCTTTGGTAGTTTTGACTGTTTTGACTTGAATATCCTTGCGTATTAAGCTTTTGGGGGTTGTATATGTAATTTTCCGTGGCTTATTTGTTTTTGACGTCGTGTCTTGCGGGATTTGCTCCACAAAATCTGGTGCGACTGCGTGTTGTAATGTATGTATTCCACCATCTCTGCACTGATTTGATTTCATGAGATTTTACTTCTCTCTTTCGCTTTTCCTACCGTAGTTGAAGAAAACAAAACACCAAAAACAACAAATCGAAAAACAGAAGCGATTCTATGGCCTTTCCAAACAGCGAGAACTCTGGCGGCATTCGTCTTCACCTCAGCCGTACCCAACATTTTGGCACTTCCTTAGCGGAACCAAGCCGTAATTGTCTTTGCCCTGACGGATGTCGTGTTTTCGGATCTCAAATAAAACCTGTGTGGCTCTTTTTGTCGGGCTAGGTCAGGTGAGTTATTAATATCTTATCTATATATATATAAATACTAGCTAATGCATTTAATAAAACATTTAATACAACCTATTTTCATTTTCCTCTCAAAGGAGTTATATTTATTTTTAATTAATTACTCACTGATCTGCTAAAACCGTTACACCTTAATATATAGATTTTTATTATTTATTTATTGGATAAGTTACT